TATCATTATTTAAAAATTCACCTCAAAAAAAAGAGGAAAAAAAAGCACAATTATTATAATTATTTTAAAATTTATACCTTCACATAAGAGTCCACCTGCTCCAGTAGTCCTTCAATGGCTCCGTAAGCATCAACTAATGGTTTTGAATTAATTTCCATCAATTTACCCAACAATGATCTGTAGGTCATCTCTGAAGGATCCTTCTCTTCCATTCCACCGACCTGGGTAAAGATGACATCACATTACATCACATTGCATCACATTACATCATATTGCATCACATTGCATCATAATACATCATATTGCATCATATTACATGTACATGTATGACTCCACCCACCTGATAACGAGCACTCTGAATGCGTTGGAGTCCTATTACTGTGGATACCCACTTGTGTAGTTCAGCTATGAGGTGACACCTGGTCAGTTCAAGAGGAGGCTCCAGGTCCATCATCTGATTAGTGATGTGCAGTTCATGAGATATAGTCTATAAATAATAAGGAATTTAAGGTGCAATTAATATATAAATGTACAACAGCTTTTAAAAGAAATGCTCAAATTTCAATGACACAAAAAACTACAAAATTCAAGCTAAAAATTATTGATACAAAATTAATATGGTGAATTGGCACTCTCTAAAAGAACCACAAATATAAGGTCTGCAAGCATCTGCCATAATAATACTATACTATAATAATATACATAATAAATTAATAATGTATATAAATGTATATACCGTATAGTGAAAAATTTTGGAGGGGGTTAAATTTGGCGAATTCGGCATTTTGATAGCCATTCGCCAAAATAAAAATCCGCCATTTTGAGCCATTATACGCATGCTCAATGGCACGTGGCCACAAATCTGCCAGATTAAAACCTACCAATCACCGAAATTAGCAATTCGCAAAATTTTAGCCCTTCCAAAATTTCCCGCTATAAGGTGCTTTTAGCTATATAATAGTTATACAGTGAGTCCAATATTTGTATTTTTATCCATAAAAAGATACACTGAAGGTATAGACAAGCTAAAGGAACCTCCCCATAGCTATACAACACCAATAATCTTCTTTCAGTATACACAAATGACACACATACATGTAAACTTATCAGCATAATAACACTACAGATACCACCCCCTTGTAATTGCATATGAGTCCAATTTCAGTATGACTTGTTTATCACCTACCAAAGAATAAATTCTAGTATCTCCTACATATCAATTTACTGAAATTGAAACCCTAATTGCTTACCACTGTCTGATGATGGTAAGATTTTAACTGTTAAATTACTGTATAGTGCAAATTTTTTTTTTCATTAACTTGCTTGAATATATTGTCTGATGAAATTATCTATGCGCTTCAAAATTCTATAGTAGGCAGATCATAGTGGAATCACAAAAATTTTACTGACAAATCTATAAAATTACAAAAAAATAAAGCCACAAATGGATTTGGATGAATTAGCAGGGCCACAAAAACTACAAAGGAGACAATTTCAATAGGCTTAGTCTTCAAAATTTTGACTTTCTACAATCATCAATTGATAACATTACCACACAATCAGTGCCTCGCCCCCCAAAATTTAATCTTATACCCACCCTGATATTTCCACCCATTTAGGAGTAATAGGTCACAATTTGATACATGGTAGATGTGTGAATGCACAAATAAACAAATTCACAAATTCACAAGAGCTCATGAATTTAACGCTACCAACTATAATGTAACAAAATTCATCAAAAACGCCCCATTTAATTTATATAAATAAATTTATCAGGAGTCATCATAGCCTACTAAGCTAGTGCTATAAAAGCAGGTAGCTTACACTATTCTACATGCTGATTCATTTTTGTTAGCAGAATGCCTCTACAAAAAAAACTTTCTTGTCTCTTCATTTTTTTTGCTAGTCTATTACTTACTAGAGCTGAAGTTGTTCCATGCAATCACAAGACTCCAGTATGCGAGTGTACGGATCCTAGGGATGAGGTATGCGAGTTTACATTTGATATTGAAATGCTGCAGACCTTCACTCGATATGTGGTTGATGATGCTACTGGAGACTCGCGTGGCACTGCTGGCAGTGTATGGTATATTAATAATGACGGAGAATGGGAAAGAGCTAATTCTAAAGACACACTATGTGGTAGCAGCATTAATAGTACTAACTGCACTCAACCGTTTGGTGTTGATGGGTACACTTTTCGTTCCTTTATAGCAGTCAATGGACGTATACCAGGACCAACACTCATTGTAACTAAAGATTGGTTGGTTAAAGTGAATGTAATCAATAGATTAGCATCAGAGAGTGTATCTATACACTGGCATGGGATGCATCAAAGGAACAGTAACTGGATGGATGGAGTGGAGCATGTTACACAGTGTGGTATACCTCCAGGAGCTAGTTTTACTTATATCTTCAATGCAACTCAATACGGGACTCACTGGTATCACTCTCACAGTGGAGCTCAGAGAACTGACGGACTCTTTGGAGCTCTCATTGTTAAAGAGAGTCAAAGCGACAGAGCAAAAGTGAGAAATGAAATCGGTGATTTTATAGACATACCGTCTCAGCATACGCTAACACTCCTTGACTGGCAAGTATCAAACTCTATCGATCTATTCACACGGATTCATTCCGGTATCAGGTACTATAATATTGAGAATGCAGCTAAACTGAGCTCTAATCCAGAATCAAGACGTACCTATTCATCAGACGGTGCTGAAGTGGGTCCTGTTCCTTATTGGTCAGGGATAATAAATGGAAAAGGAAGACATAGAAGTGTTCCTTATGTTAATTCAGAGTTGAGTGTTTTTGAGGTCTCTCCTGGTAGCGTGTATCGTTTTAGGTTGATTGGTGCACAGAGTTTGTATGCTTATCGTTTCTCCATTGACAGACACAAACTAACCGTGATAGCAACAGACGGGCAATATATAAGACCGATGGAAGTCGATTTCATTATAATTCATTCTGGAGAGCGATATGACTTTCTTCTTCAAACAGAAAACGACACGTCACAATTTAATTATTTAATCCGTGCAGTGACAATGGAGGTAAACGATGAAGAAAATAAGAATATAACAGAAGCTATACTGCACTACAATACAGACTCATCTACTTATCCTACAGCTACTGAATATGAGAGCATTGCTCGAAGTTCTCAAAGTGACCATGTTAGATGCACTGAAACCTCCAACTGTACAGCCCTCAACTGTCCCTTCCTGGTCTACCCTCAGCGGTATCACATCAGTTGTGAACATATTCATAACCTGAGGCTACTCTTTCCTGTATCTGATAGTGATCTACCTACTAATGGCGCAAAAGGTCGTACTAGCTTATTCTTCAATTTCGGTTTTGAAGGAATTAGTCAGACCAGTGCCATTAATGCTCGTAACTTGAAACTTCCCTCATCTCC